ATATATATATATATATATATATATATATATATATATATATATATAAAAAGCGTTTTAAACCATTCCCACATTTTTGCAATATTCTAAACAATGTTTCTAAACTCTAAACACTAAAAGAGCACAGCATGTCATGATTTAAGCTCTCTGCCACCTGCCGCTCTTTGCACCTGCAAGCGTTCTTGGCCACGCCCACTTCTCCACTATACACGGAGAACAGCTGATCAGCTGCAGCAGGAAGTTTATCCTGCAGTATGGGCTGCACAAAGGTGAAACAGGTGCTAAATAATTTAAAATAATTTATTTTAAATAAAAACTTCATGCCAATCGTGCGGCTCATCCATCAATCAGCCAACTGTGTCATGTCCAATCTTATTTTGAAAAACCGTGATAGAGTTCGCGAAAAACTTATGGACTACTGTACACAAAATAGGGAACTACAGTAGATACACAATAAAAGCACAGGATATATTAATGGTACAAGGTATTGATATTTTTGAATTCCATCTACACAATCAGATAAGGAACAATGGAAACTGGTCCAATAATTTATACAAAATATGCCACTGACACACAACTGAACCAAACTGAACAATGTTTTAAAGATCAGCAGTTCATGGTCATTTTTTATTCTAGATAATAACTTTGAATATCTACAAATACTACTTATTAATAAGAAGTTGTACTTTTTGATTCAAACTGTAATTTTCAGTTGCTGGTAAATTACCATTTTGAATGAAATAAAGTTGTATGCTTTGATCAAACATTAGTGTGTTAATATGATTAATGTGATTAATGTGTGTGTGGGCATGTAGGTTGCTTACAGCGTTCTGGATGTCTATAGAGCCAAAATATCCTGGGGGAGCACCATTGGCAGTGTTCTACAAGCACAAACAGAAGAAGAAGAAATGAGCAAACAGGAGAAAATGGTCTAGTCTTCTTCCTGCAGGCTGAGAAACATGACGTGCAACAGACACAAAGCAAACTCCTGAAGACTGAGAATACAGCCCATGTGTGTTTTAATACTCACAGCAGCTTCAACTTCTGTGGACTCCCTGAACGAGAAGTTGAAAAATGTTTCACATTTAAGTTAAAAACAGTAAATTTAACAAACTGAACTAAACGTGAAGTCGTCACTCACGTGGAGTCGGTGTCCTTGTCTTTCCTTCGACCTGGAATGCCAAAAGGTTTTCTTTTCCGTGGTTTGGCACCTAAAGCAAAAACAAAACGTTTAATTAAAAATAAATAAAAATGTGCTCTTCCTCAAATCTGTGATTAGATGGAATATTAACTACATTTTCACCTCGTTTTAATATGGAACTTGAAAATAGGTTTGTTAAAATGTATTCTTTGAAGACTTTCAATAAAAACTCACCTTCTGTTGCAACCGCTGTGTTACACTCCTCAAACTCTATAGGTCCTAAAAAGACACACACAACACTGGATTGTTTGGTGCAGAGAGAGTTAAAGACCCACTGCTGACACACACACACACAACATGCAGTCTAGCATCCCGTACAGGACATGCACACAATCAGGGTGAGGCTGCTCCCACAGGGAGAACTTGGGGGGGTCAATTCAGGTGGGCCTCACAGAGATGTAACACAAAAGGTTACACAACACCAGAGATTGTTCCTCAGAAAGATGCACATCTGGAATCATCAACATAACAACTGTGTTCTTCTGAAAATGCTCACAGCAGATTTGGTATTCATAGAAATGCACTGGTGTGGAGTTTGCACAAAGCAGGAACTTAATGACCCGCATGGGACACACGACACTAATATTACAAATGACAAGGTGCAATGACTTCACGCTCAGTCCTACACGAGATCTTGTGACACGTTAGCATGGTCAAATATAAGTATTTTGATTAGGGGTGCATTGATTGCAGTTTTCTGGCCTATGTAGTGGACTAGGCCTCCGACCAAAACCTGCCTCTGAAGACCTTCATGGGACAGGAACTGTTATTTCATTGATTTGAATCCAGAAACACAAATTAGCTCATCCAGAGACTTTCTAATTGTATCCTGAACTAATCAATTGAAAGAACACTCTCTTTTTTTATATTATCATCACTATTTTACAATATCTTGATAATCAAAAGTGTGTTTAGTTCATACCATTTTTAAATGTTGAAGTGAACCACTCATTTTAAATCAACTGTGAAACAGTATTAATGATTTTTAAACCTCATTTAAATTAGAAATCAAGTTAAATGTCTATTTTACAAAGTAATTATGCATTTTGATCTTCTGTCTGAAATGAGAAAGAGTGATGTCGGTCAAAAGTCGGAGACAGTCAAAAACAAGTTGTTAGAACGAGCTGTCGTGTTTTTAAACCTCTCAGACAGTAAATAAGAAAACTGGCACCTGCAGTGTTTCTCACTTCGCCAAAACATTTCTCTGTCTGTTCCTAAACATTTCTGCTGTTTTCTTGACTTGTAAAAACCCTTTGACATCACTAGAACCACACCCCTGTTGGTTGCTTCAACCAATCAGGACTTACTAAAGTGACCGGAAGCAGAACTCTTTAAAAGTCGACACTTCCTGGAACTGTCAGTCTTCTGAGTCTTCTGGGTCTCCTGGATTAATGTCTTCTGAGGTTCTGGGAGAGTTCTAGCTGTTATGGAGTTCTGGAGTTTTTCCACTGCTGAGTGGAACTTCGGACTCAGTTTTCCATGCTGATGGGAGTCATCCATCCCTGCCGGAGTCACGGCGCCTCGCTGTGACTATCACCAGGCGAATGCCCAACAACTTCTGAGGAAGTTTGTTCTGTAGAACAGAGTATCTCACGACTTCTGCCGAGTCGCAGCCGCCCTGAGGAGACGCTGAAAGGTAGCGTGCCAGGGACCTCTTGACCGTAGCGGACTCATCCTCTGCCAAGGTAAAGAGTCGTCACGAGCTTCACTACAAGTGTACCGCGGGCAAACTGCGCTTGAAAGGATCGTGTTGTTCTGGTCTACAGACATACATCTTCCTCCACATCTCCCTTTAAACTCCTCCATATTTCCCATCTTTAAAACTCTTCTATCCTGCCAGTAATTAATCCAGATATCTTCAGAAATGTCTGTTGTTTTTATTAAGTAAAACGTGCCAAGTTTTATTAATCAGAACTAGATCAGTCTAATCAAGTGTACAATGTTATGATGTTAAATTTTGATTCTGTTAATAAATGACCACATTTATTTTGATGGGTCAAAGAAAATTAACGTCTCATGTCACTGATTAAACCATCTACACACAGTACCTCTGTCACATATCTGTCAAGTAGCTCGAAAAAGAGAGAACTTGTTATTTAAATATGACTGTAGTGAAGCTCTGAAGCTAACCTAGCCCTTTAGAACACTACACCTATCACCGATTTTTAAAAAGTCTGACCTGTCGATTCCGATTTAGTTTTATAATCACCACTGTCAGGTGTTAAAGGTCACAAAGCACCTTCAATTTTCCAACATTATTTTATTGTAAAACATACCCTTGAACAATATCCTAGAAACAATATAAACTTGTTTTAACTGGCCATGAGGTAGTGCTCTGAAATATAAATGAAGTCCAGACAATTGTTAACATTTTAAAAAATCGGTCAAATCAGTTTCTCATGCAAGTATCGTCCGATTTCCGATTTCTAAAAATTAAGAAAATCAGTGGTACCCAGTTGATGAAGTGTTTATATAGACATGATCAAAAGCTGTTCTTTTGTCTTGTTAAAATCATCCATCACTCTAGAACAGGAATAAACAATGCTCTGCAAACATACCAGTACAGTCACACTGGAGAAAAACCAGCAGTAAATTGGTGATGGCAAAAACAACATTTGTTTTAGTCATTCAGAAACGTCCATCACACGATGAGAGAACAGCCATAAATAAATAACTATCCACACTTGGTTTATTTCTCATCAATTATGCATATTTAGCCCCAAGATACTGCCATGCTTCACATCACTTCAAAAAAAATGTACTAAAGGTTTTGTAGCAGTTAAGATAAAAAAACAACACACTTTGATAATTCACAATGGAATGGTACAGTTAGAAGATGGGCCTGTGATTGGAAAGTCACAGGTTCAACTCCCGGTACCATCAACATTAAAATGTGGGTGGAAAAGGTGAAACGCCCACACCTGCCTCCACCCTCATTGGCCCCACTCTGGGCCCCTGAGCAAGGCCCTTAACCCCCATCATCTGCTTCTAAACAGGTCTCTCTTGAAAATGAGTTCTCGTGACTCAATGAGTGAAACCCAACAAAACCATTATCGTTCCGCCTTCACTTTCAGCAGCAGGTGGTAAATCGAGAGAAGGGGTGAAATGTGGTTTCATGTCATTCAGAGAAATCCAGAAGGTATTTTGAGCTCTGCTGTTCAAGTTAATTGTGACAACAGGACAGTGTGTGTCTTCAGTCGGAGCGCACGGATAAAGATAGTCTGTATCAGTGAGAGGCTGAACAGTAAGATGACACACAGAAAGACACAAAGACTGGGCTGGACCCTCTGGCTGTATTCTGATCCACTAACATGCCTTGACCTGAAAACAACAAAGCCAACAACGTTTTAACTCGGGATGCACGCAGCAGCAGCAGCAGCAGCAGCAGCAGCAGCAGCAGCAGCAGCAGCGGTCCGTCCGATGGGCTCTCCCCAGAGGACGCCAGTCGCGAGCAGAGTCGACGCTCTGTCTGGCATGAGTGAAGCGCAGGGAGGCAGCGAGTCACGAGAGGTACGCCAAGTCATGTGGATAAAGAACACCGATGACCAGACCCCTCCGCTGTGCAGGACCAGGCCTCCTCCGTGCACGCTAATACACAACAGCCACAACACAAAGCACCGTCAGAAGAGTTTAACGCCCATCGCAACAAATCCGCCTGCAAAGTCACAAACACAGAAGCTCACATAAGACAGGAGAGACAAACAGCATGAAGGATGTGGACAGTGTCGTTAACTCGCTTGACATAATCTCCTCCACATGCTGCCTCATGCAAAAGGGCAATAAAGGCCCTGTGTCCATGTGAGTGTTTTTCTTTGTTTGTCTGTCAGCAAAATATTGCATCAACTACTGGATGGAGATTAACCAAACTAACAGAAAGTAATCATTAGATGAACATCTACACCTGACAAACATTTGCAGTGTATCTAATTCAAGATGGGTGCCACAACTAACTGAGCTTAGCCAACACAAAAATGGCTGCCATCTCAGTCAAATTCACTGTCCAGTTTTAAAACTCTTTTAAAAACACATTTTTACTCCCTGGCTTTTAGCACAGCCTGAATTTGCTCTGCAATGGTTTTTATTGATCTTATGGTTTTAACAACAGTTTTATGCGTTTAAATGTTCTTGATTTTATATGTACAGCACTTTGGGGCAGCTCTGGTTGTTTTAAAGGGCTTTATAAATAAAGTATTATTATTATTATTATTATAAATTTACTGCTAGTGAGTTAAAATTGGATGAACATCATCTTCAACACATCCACTGAGCACAACACATATGTGCAACATTTGTGCTTACAACTATGCCATAAAGTGTTGAAGTCAACACCGTCTGTCTGTTAGCAAAATATCTCACAAGCCACTGGTCAGATTTTAATGAAACAATCAGAAAGTATTCTTTCAATGCTCTTTAGCAACAGATTACCTTTTGAAGGGAATCCAATTCAAGATAACTGTCACAGCTAACCAAAGTTAGCAAACATAAAAATTATCATATTTTAGTCAGTTTTACAGATACTGAGCTAAATTGTGGTGAGATAGTAGCAGAGTGTTCACTATACATAATCCAAAAACTAACACATAGTACAAGATCTCTTCAGACTTCAAGAAATGCTCTAACTCCATCTTTTCTCAACATAAGATGATTCTAGTACACTGCCTGGCCTAAAAACGGTCACATATTTGGTTGGACAGCCTTTATCTTTGATTACAGCAAGAATTCTCTGTGACATTGTTTCAGTAAGCTTCTGCAATGTCACAAGATCTATTTCATCCATCCATCCATTTTCTTTACCCGCTTATTCCATTTTGGGTCACGGGGGTCGCTGGTGCCCATGTCCAGCAATCACTGTGCGAGGGGCGGGGGACACCCTGGACGGGTCGCAAGTCCATCAAAGGGACACATAGAGACAAACGAGACAAACAACCATTCACTCTCTTGCTCACACCTAGGGACAATTTAGAGTTACCAGTCAGCCTAACATGCATGTTTTTGGTCTGTGGGAGGAAACCAGAGTACCCGGAGAAAACCCACGCATGCACGGAGAGAACATGCAAACTCCACCCAGAAAGGCCCCTGGACCGGGGTTTGAACCAGGGACCTGCTCGCTGAGAGGCAGCAGCTCTACCAGTTGTACCACTGTGCTGCCCTATTTCCTCCAGTGTTGCATTCATTTTTCACAGAGATCTTGCAATGATGACTAGACACTAGACATGATGGGTGCATCACTTCACCTGCCTCTCTTCTTACCCTGATGCACCATCACTTTAGAACAGGGTCAGTCTGGACTCAGACCACATGAACTTCTTCCATTGCTCCAGAGTCCAATCTTTATACTCCCTAGCAAACTGAAGCCTTTTTTTCTGGTTAGCCTCACTGATTAGTGGTTTTCTTAAAGCTACCCAGCTGTTCAGTCCCATTCCCTTGAGTTCTTCACATTGTGTATGTGGAAATGCTCTTACTTTCATTATTAAACAAAGCCCTGAGTGCTACTGTTGTTTTCTTCGATATGATTTCACCAAACATTTAAGTGATCGCCGATAACGATCATTCAGGATTTTTTCTGGCCACATTTCTTCCTCGAAGACGATGGGTCCCCACTCTCATTCCAGTTTTTAATAATGAGTTGGACAGTTCTTAACCAAGTTTTAGTAGTTTCTGTAATCTCCTTAATGTCTTCTCTACTTGATGCCAATGATTTGACCCTTCTCAAACAGACTGACATCTTTCCATGACCATGCCATGAGTCTTTCAACATGGTTGTTTAAGAAATGAGAAGCAACTCATTGCACCAGTTGGGGTTAAATAACTTGTTGCAGCTGAAATATAATCACCCATGCAGTAATTCTCCAATAGGAGGCTCGTACCTATTTGCTTAGTTAAATCCAGGTGGCAACTTTTTTTTTTGACCAGGCAGTGTATAAAACTATGGCATCACAAGTGGCGGGCGTTATGAGTCTTTTAAAGGAATACTAGGCCTTCAGCTCTGCAGCAGCTGCTGGTATGATTAAGAAAATGTATCAAAAAGGATCCTTGAAGCAGAAGAATGAGTGGAAACTCCATGCAGGACTGAGGCTCAGCAGGACCTCTCTGCCGTTAGCATCCTGTGATTGTATTTGACATTATTTAGACAAAAAGACTCCAAACTGTGCACACGATCTGGACGGACATTAGGAAGTGTTTAAACCACCACCAACCAAACAGACGACTGTGTTTACACAGCATACGATGTTTCCTTTTCCTCCTCTCTGTGAAGAAAATGTGAAGTCACGCATGAGCAGAAAATGTTTTTTTTAAATCCTATGTGCTTCACATGACACTGGGAGGGGGCAGAGGGGGGTTGCGTGTCTGGCCCACTGCCAGTTGACAGCTCAGTTGGATATCGTTGAACAGTTCGAACCCCCGCCTCGCAGAGTGTCACTCTGGGATTGTTTCTGCAATAGAAAGTTTATTCAACCTCTCTCTCTCTCTCTCTCTCTCTCTGTGTGCATGTGTGTGTAAGTAAAAGGCCTGGTCCGTCCATTTCATCAGATGACACACAGCTTATTTTTCTGACAACGCCGGAGCTGCTGTGCAACCTCTAATGAACTGCTTAATACGAGAGGAATTTTCAGAGCGTTTTTTCCACCTTTAATTAATTCTGCTGTCCAAACAAATGAAGGCCACCATTTGCCAGATAAAGTGTTTGGACATGGGGGTCACGGCTTGTGGACACACAAACACTGCAGAGGCAATCCTTTGTGTCTGTCACCTGACGTAACGTAGCACAAGCAGCGCGGGGGTCGCAGCTCAGATTTGTAACAGGGCTGACTGGTCCCATCCAGCAGGTTGCACTGACTTGTGTTAGTAAAATGCAAGCGCAGAAGAAAAGATTTTGAGCTTGAGCTACAATAACTGACAATTAATTTATATGTGTGTGTGTGGGGGGGGGGGGGGGGTGAAAGACACAAAAAGGGGAGACAGAACTAAATACAGCTGAGGGGTATTTCTTTGATTAGCGTGGCATGGCCAAGTTGACACAAGAGTCGTTGTCGAGCTCTGACCTCATCAAAAAGTTGGTTCCGCTGCATTAATCTGCAAACACAGACCCCCCCCCACCCCCCCAATGTGTCACATGCTAACTGGAATGTCAAGCCAAAATTTACAGCAGCTTACTATGATTGGCTCTGATGGTGCACTCTTATTCCAATACAGACCCATCCCCTCTGTTAACGGCAGGAACCCACAGATCAGAGTGGAAGGTCCAGGACAGAGGATGCCTACCTGGCCTCTCCCGACCCGTTCCTTTACTCTCAGACAGTTTCTGGATCAAACTTTCCACTGACGTGTTCTCGATGTTCTTCACAAATTCACTGTGGACCTGTGAAGACAAAAACATGAGAAAATAAGTTTTATTCATAGATCTGAAGACCACATCTGTTCATCTAATAAACTTATTATATCTCATGAATGATCAACAAGTTTATCTCTGACCAAGATGGCCATATTGTTCTTAAAGATTTATTATTAATGGTACCAATGCATAGGTATTCAAAGCACAATTTTCTAAGTACTTCTGCATAATTTCATACTTTGTGCTATTTTAGATATTCATATACCATTCTGCACACATTCAGGAAAAGGAAGATATGGCTTTTGGTTGTTGTACCATATATTTTTCAAAATTATTAATTTTATTTAGAAATATATTTCCTGTAGAATATCCTGATGCATGCTCAATAATCCAGGTAGAAAAATCTAAAAAGGTTAAATCTGGTCCTCTGGACATTCAAAAAAAAACAAAACAAAGCAAATCAACAAAAAAAAAAAAAATGTAGAAACGTTTCGTCTCTCATCCGAGAGACTTCCTCAGTCTGAGGTGCTGTATTCAGCTCAGTCTCTTAAATAGCACCTTCTCAGAGTGGATCAACCAGTTTTGCTGCTGACAACCAAAACCAGCTGATCACATGCTCAAGAAGGACCATCAGCCTAACAATGGATCATTAGCACACTGATGGCTGTTTACTATTCACAGAGGGCTGAGTGATACTAGCAATCACAGCATTGTAAGAGGGGGACAGTTGAACCCGGAGGCCTCCACCCCTGTTTAATGATGGACGATTCCTTTTCATAAAGATGGCCTCCTTTACTCCTCTCTCAAACCATCGTTCCTCTCTGTCCAGGATGTGCACATCTTCATCCCTGAAAGAGTGACCGCTGGCCTGGAGATGAGTGTAGACCTCAGAGTCCTGGCCTGATGATGTTGATCTTCTGTGCTGGGCCATCCTTTTGGCCAGTGGCTGTTTAGTTTCCCCGATGTAAGACTGATCACAGCCCTCCTGACACTGAACAGCTACACAACATTGCTCTGTTTGTGCCGGGGGACTGGATCTTTGGGATGAACCAGTCTTTGCCGTAATGTATTTTGGGGTTTAAAAGCCACTGGGACGTTATGTTTAGAAAATAAACGTCTCAGTTTCTCTGATACTCCCTCAACTAACTGGGCCTTCCTGAAAGCAGAGAAGAACCCCAAACAGGACTCCAGTCAGCCAACAGGTGAAAAGGAGGAACCCAGACCCAGACCAGTGGTCATTCCGTATGTTGAGGGATTATCAGGGAAACTACATATACATATTGTAGTGAACTAAGCCTCAGGTCAAGTCCTGACCCTGAGGGCCTTCCTGGAAAAGGAACTGTTATTTCATTGATTTGAGTCCAGAAATACAAATTAAGCTCATCCAGAGACTTTCTAAGTGTGTCCTGCTCCGATCAATTGAAAGAACACTCTCTTTTTTATTATCCATATAAATATGGATACATATACATATATATGTATATACATATACATACATGTATATATATATATATGTATATACATATACATACATATACATACATATATATATATGTATATACATATACATATACATACATGTATATATATATATATGTATATACATATACATACATGTATATATATATATGTATATACATATACATACATATATATATATATGTATATACATATACATACATATATATATATATGTATATACATATACATACATATATATATATATGTATATACATATACATACATATATATATATATGTATATACATATACATACATATATATATATGTATATACATATACATACATATATATATATATATGTATATACATATACATACATATATATATATGTATATACATATACATACATATACATATATATGTATATGTATATACATATATATACATATATATATATATGTATATGTATATACATATATATACATATACATA